TTGATTTCTTTTTTTTTAATTTAATAATGAAAATTATATTTTTAATTAATTTTAATAATTTTATTTTATTTCATTTTAATTTTAATTTGTAGATCGAACTCGATTAGACTGTGGATGCCGCAATTGTTCACAATGATGGAACATTTCAAGAACGATTACATGAAAAGCGATTATTTGAGCTCGCAGCCACGTTTCTGTTACATGCTAGGCCAACGGCTACCGACGAATCATAGTTCTTCAGGCAGTTTCGTAAACGAATCTTTGAACGCTACTCACGCATGCATAGCGGTATTACGATTATTTATTTATGTATTTTCATGCTCGTTAAAAGTGAATATTAAATAAAATTCGCTAAAATTTCGCAATTTTTGTTATTTGAAATTCGAGCTATTTTCCATGATAAACGGTTTACTTATTTTGCTAAATAAGTGACTTTGCATGAAAACATAAATTTATTGCTGTTTTGTAGTTATAAGCCTTCACGTTTCATTTATTTCAGCAAGAGTTGAATTCAAAAGTGTTTATCAATTCCATCGTAATTGCGACTACCGGTGTTGTAGGATATACATTGGCAGGCTCACTAATCACTGTAGTAGGAAAAAAGAAGCTCATAGGTAAGCAATCTATAATTTTCTAGAAATCGACATTAATAATGTTGCGTTTGTAATTCGAGAGTTTGCGAAATTTTTCGTGATTTTTAAAAATTCTTTTTACTTATCGACTGAGTAATTATGCTAAACGACAGCTAAAGATTCTGAATAATATACAATATATGTAAACATTGATAATTTATCAATTTATAAATCTTGAAAATAATTTATCGAATAATAATTTTGCAAATTTCCAAAAGTAGGAACACGCAGGTAAAGTAAACGCTGTTCATATTTTTTCAGAAAAAAATTAAAAAACAGAAACAATTTCTGTGATTTCAATTTTCTTCGATCTGTACAATACAATTAGAAATCTCGGGGGAATTAAATCGCGAACGTCAGGTGCGCTAAATATTGAAAAGAGTTGCGAATAAGCGTTAGGTGTTTTCAAAAAAGCTGCGTAAATTTATGATCACGGGAGATTAATAAGAATGTTCGTTGTATTGCGTGCAAAATGGTAGCGAGGTGTGGAAATGTAGAAAGGTGGAACGGACACTGAGAAAAGGCAGAAGTGCGATCTATGCGGAGACAGATTCGAAACGTTGGAAAGAACATCAGAGTCGTCCAGAAGAAATCGTATTCTAGTGCCTCCAGAGGCACACTGCACGATTTAGGGCCAATTTAATTGCATTAATCGCATAATTGCGAAGGCGAATAAATTTTGTGAACCGGTTCATCACTTTGTCAAATTCCAATTCTCTTTCAGACTTAATTTGTATGACACACTATTGCCTGCAATCGGCTGTATACTAGTAAATAAAGAAGGAAAGAAAGAAAGAATTGAGAATGACGGGGATAAATTTTGGAAAAACTAATATTTTTGGACTTATTACCGGTTTCAGGTATCGCGTGGTTGATCATACCCCAGAAATGGACCATCAATCTCGTGAGCGGTACCGTGGATATTAGCTCGTGGCGAGTATTCCTAGCAATTTGTTCGTTACCAGAATTTTTTGCATGCATAGCAATGTTTGCGCTTCCCGAGAGCCCGCGTTTTCTTATTTTGAAGGGCAGAAGAGAAGAGGCTCTCCAGGTTTTCAAGAGAATATACGCGCTGAACACAGGCAAGGATCCAGACACATATCCTGTGAGTATCGTTCAATTCCAAGCAATAGTTTCCATGAAAATTCACATCGATTCGTGTTCTTCTTATCTCATCTAAAAATTTCTAAATGCTAATTGTAAAATTCTTCAAAATGGAATTCACCGAAATTCCAGGATTATCTACTGTAAAATTAAGATTATCCGTTCTGATATCGAATCGTTAATTAATTTGGTGTATACTAGCGAGATCGTAGTAAAATGGCATACGTTAGATCTGTGATCATTTCTGTCTGCAGATAAAGGATCTCGAGGACGAGTATTTCGTTGAGACGACAAACGACACTGTGAAGGATAAGATACGCTCCTGCTGGCAACAAATCAGACCTCTGTTCGTGTCACCAAACATCGTCAAACTTATCGCGATAAGTTTGATTCAAATGGGCGCGACAATAGGGTCAGACTGAATGAATGCTCTTCTCAAACAACTTGCATTATCGTTCGCTCTTTAACCCTTTCACTGTGCTGTTGGCGCTAAATCTTCTCGCACTGCACTTTTGGTACACTTTCGCCTTAATTCAATCCTTAAGTTTTGCTTAAAATTCCATCTTTCGAGTGCTCTCACTTTAATTTAATAATAGAAATTTAGACATGATAAATTACAAATTTTTTTTCATTTTTAAACGCCGAAACGAAAGACTTTTCCGATAATCTGTCGCAGCGAAAGGGTTAAATACTATAGATTAAAGTTAGAATTTCATATCAATTTTACAGAAGACCTAATTG